TGTTTTAATCCTAGGCATGAATGTAACATATGGTTTCTTAAATGGCTTGTTCCTTTCCTACCGTTCCTAGCTAAATATTTCCTGCAATGCTTACATGTAGCTATGTGTCCATTCAGTCATTTAAATTTTTCAATGTCATTCCATACTTTGACGTTGATATTCAACTCCTCATTTTATCTTCTTGAGATGCATCCTCACCCATCTCGACCACATCATCCTTGCCAAAAAAAAGTTCATTACAATCCTTAATGTTGTGTTTGGTTGAGGGATTTGAGGAGGGATTTGGAAAGGGAAATGGAAAAGGTAGGTGAAATGTGAAAAAAATATACCTACATTTCACATAGTTTCACACACCTTTTCCCTTTCTCTTTCCAAATCCCTCCCCAAATCTCCCAACCAAACACAGCGTAAAACATTTTTCAGCTCAAGAAATCAAATATGAAATGCCCAAGAAGTCAAACACAAAGCCCTTGAACGAGTTTACATTCAGTAAACATTTGGATTCAGGTTGCCATGATTCGATCTTTTTTTTTTCATTTTTTTTCCTTGCTATAATCCCCACTTCTTTCTTCCCTTTTATTTACTTGCTTATGATGGTAGATTAGGGCATTTTTGTTAAATTAGCATACCTTATGCTATGCATGCGTGCATTCATGCATTTGTATTGCATGCACCGGGTTTGGTACATCACGCTAACTGCATTTGTACTTCAATTCCAAATTGAATACGTGCATCAATTGACTGCATTTCACATGCCATGCTTAGGTTACCCGAGCCTACTCTAATTGCATTTTTCATGCGTTGCATTAGCCACTCTAACATGAACTAGGATCATGCATGTTTGCTAACTGGTATATTGTTTTGGCACGGAGTACTATGTAAGTATTTTCCTGCTTTAGCATACCGCATGCGTGCGAGTGTTGCCATGACAGTATGCCTACCATGCGGCTAAATGCTTACATGATATAATTGATTGGATGCCTGTGGGTGAAGGTTGGATTGTTTGAGTTGGAAAAACTCGTTGAAATCCGTGTTTTAGCCTACTTGCGAGTAGCAAATTCCAAAGCGCTTTTCAAAACAAACGGATATGCAATGCTTGTTTCCAAATTAGGCAATCTAGTCTATACTTGTTTCCTGCGCGCATAACATAGTAATTCTAGGCTAATAACTAGAATAAGAACACATAACGTTTTCAAAAACGGATATCATGGTTAGTAGAAGCCAATCTTCGGATCGGGCGAGAGGGGGTGCTCATAGCTGTCCTTCCCCAATCGTACCCTAGCTCCCGAGCCGAGACAACTCTGGTGATAACGGACATGTGGCCTTCGGCACCGAGTCAGGGTTTCCTAAATTCCCCCATAAAAAATATTTAGGTGGCGACTCTGTATCTGGCAAAGCAGTCCATGTTTGGCACTTCTTTTCAAAATCTGTTTTTCTCAAAACGATTTGCCAGAGTTGGACTCTTTGGTTCAAGATTAAGAACCGCAAACACAAATCGAGTCCGAGCTGTAGTGACCCCATGAATGAACAGGACGGGAGCTCATCCCTCCCGGGGCGTTCGGGGACGTTTACAATTATGAAGTTCATGTGACATAAAAGTACATGAACATGATAATGTGACATGAAATGCAAGATACAATTGTTCCATATGCTTGAACAAGAATTTATATTTTCTATGTCTTGTCAATTTTTGTGAAAGAACCTCGTTATATATTATGACATAATAAATAATAATGTTTAAAGTATTTATTACAGGATACATTTGGCATTTTTATATATATACATAGTATTGCAAAGTTGGTTATGCTATACATTATCGTATATGATAGTTTAACACATTTTTATAACTAAACTGGACTTCAAGAAAGTTAATGAGGCCTAGATTGCGTATCTATTTTATCAGCTAGAAGAGGATGTGGTTTTCAATAACTTGTGTAACCTTTTGTGCTCTTTAAAGTTGGTTTTAGAATGTACTTCTGAAGGGGAGTAAATACATTTTTGATCATTGGAGGATTTCAATACCAAATAAAGAAAGAATTTGTAATGAGAATTGTTATTTTGGTAATGAGAACTTGGCAACAAAATATTTCTTCAATATATATGAAAAATCTAAAATCCCCGAAATATTGATTTGTGATTATGTATCAAGTTTAAACAATAAAAAACAATCAGAATCAAACAATCAATGACAAGCCAACACAACGATTTAACGTGGAAAAGTCACAATTGGAGCGCCTCCAATTATGATAAAAAATCACGAGAAAAAGCCACAAAACAATCCACTAAGAAGGTATAAAGGAATTACGCAAGTGTACTCTCAATTACCTAACGAATCCATGCCCGAATCAAGTTGACCCCTATGTGCCTCTTCCAGCCTTGTCTTTACCTCAGAATTGTCTTGCCCAACGTTGAATCCACAACGCCGATGTCGAATCCACGACAATGAACCACTCAGGAATCCACCAAAGCTTCAGGCCCAAATTCTACGGAATCTACCGAAGAACAACTCTCTCTTTTTAAATAAAACAAAATAAACAAATTGTTTGATAGAATCTACTCAACTCATGATATAAACTCTCAGAAATATCACAGGAACAAGAAAAGAAGCTCTAGATGAAAACCATAATACCAAAGAAGAAGATCTAGAAGTCGTACCCTAAAACTTGACTGAACCGCAGCTTTTATAGCAAACAGATCAGTGATCTCCGCTAAAGCACATGAATGGCCGCTCGAGTGGACTGACTAAAACGCGTGTTTCAGAACAAAGGTTTATGCTCCAGCGCATGAAAGGCCGCTTGAGCGGAAAAAAACAACTCCCAGTACTTTTGCAAGTGAGTGAAACTTCTGAAAGGTCGCGATCTACACTCAAGCGCAGGGATGGCCGCTCTAGTGGAAAAACAACTTTGACTACAGTTTTGCATTTTCCTTTGGGGCCGCTGCCCCAAACCAACCAAGGGGCGCTACCTCCTGGACCCCCGCGAGTTGACCAGGCAGCTCGATCCCTCGACATAGTCAGCAAAGTGGCAAATATGAAAGAATACACATCACAAACTTCTCTGCAAGGCACAATTCGGGTTGGATTCGCATCTAAAAATTCATAGCATCACTGAAATAAAAGTTGAACAAAATTACAATTGAAAGGAATTTTATCAAACGAGATAGCCAAGAATAAAAACCAACAATATATTTATATATAAAATACATTAACCCTTCCTTAGGCGCTTTCAATCTTAGACTATTTTATGTGTTCCCTGTTCTGCCTCCACTTCATGCAACTAAGTATTGCCTATTAAGGCACTTTTCTAAACAAGATTTTCATAACTGGTTTTAATCAATTATATGTTTTATCTAATTGTAATGACTAGGGCATTGGTCACAAGGGTCGAGCTTTTGATCTCCCTTGCGGCATTATCTTTTCCCATGGTAAATTTTAACTAATTATGCATGTCAATTCCATTGTTGTTTTCCACTTGCTACATAAAACTCTTGAATAAGATATGGTTCGACTTCCAACCCTAGTTTCTCCTTTTCTAGGTTGAATTAGAGCTTTGTTCTAGTAGATCATCAAGTGCACCATGGTTGGTTTAAAAAATCAGGGCATTTCTACATGGCCTAATCTATATTGTTATCAAATTGATATACTGGAATCTTACATTATACAATTGATGTATTTTGAGTATTATATCTCCATGATGTGGTGCATATATTCCAGTACCAATAACCAAGTTGTGTTTCATTGCTACAGGGATCAAGAAATCATTTGGTGTTGATGACATGTTTGTCACGACTCACCATGAACTTCTTGCTAAAAATCTTTATTTGTATTAGTGAGGCATATTTTGCCACCTATTCCTGGGAATATACAGTTCTTCACAAGAAGAAGAAGAAGAAGAAGAAGAAGAAGAAGGGAAAAAAAAAAGAAGAAGAAGAAAAAATAAGTAAAAAGAAGTTTTGCTTGTTTTGGTGTATTATCAAAACCTCTCATCAATTGGGTTATTTATGTATTTATTTATTTTCATGTTGCAAAACTATATAGAGATGTTCATTTTTGCAGCCCATTCCTAAACAAACTTGAGCTTTATTTTTAGGTTGAATGAAATATCTACTTAGAACAAAAACATTGTATGTTGTTCTTTTACTCACTGATTGTTGATATACTTTCTATAGGGCAAGGCCTGGGCATCTGAAATCGCGTCAAGAAGAAAAGCATAACGTTAGATTCTATTTGAGAGTTGGAACTACACTTTTTGGTGACTTCTTGTTCCCTATCCTTCTGTCCTTAAAGAGTTCATTCAATGCAAAGTAGTTTTAATTAAAAGCTTTGATCTGTTAAGCATTCTAATAAGTCCCTGACCAAAATGCTTCTCTTGAGTTAGTCAATTAAACCATTTTTTCTCTCTTCGCCATTGAAGAACCTAGTAATTTATTTAGAGAATAATGTTTCAATGATGACTCTAGTGTTGCCTTGTAGTCTTATGTAGAGAACAACAAAACCAAGGGACTAAAGTGACCTTAGGCCATATTAGGAGAATTTTCATGATAAAATGTACAGGATATTTGATGAACATGGTATGTTTGGCAGCGATCAATGTATTGTGTATAATGTTGATTCATCAAACCAGGTCGTATATGATCATTATAGCATAACACTTCATTAATGGTACACACATTGTTCATTCACTAATTAAAATAAAATTCTGATTTGGCTTTATTTCCAAATCAATCTAATAACTCTACGCATTTTAATTACCTTGTGCAAAGCTTGCATTTCAAACTGCTTTATCAGTAAGCCTATTTAAAGTTACTCAAGTGAATGGAGAATTTTTTGCACAAATCTTACTTATTTCTGTAGCATTGTACAATGAGACAAACATCACTTAAGCTTTATGCCATTATAAAAAAGTTCTCTATTCATCTAACAATGAAAAAAAAAGGTAAAACACTACCTACCTGACATGACATTTGTGTTTGCTACTTTCTTCTTCCTCCGTGTCTGTTACCACCCTTGTGTGACCTTTTCCCTTTCTTCTGTTGTTCTCCTTCAGCAATTCTTACAAACCATTTTGGTTTTCCAATTAAGAATATAATATATCCCATTACCAATCCCAATACCATTCCACATCCGTACCCCATTTGTACCGCTTTCCAACTAAATCCACGTGCAAAAGTTGGATCATCTTCCTTCTGCAACATAGGTGTTGGATGTAGTGGTGTCTTATTATCTTCACATTCCTTTGATAGAGGAAACCCACACAATGCCAAATTTTCATTGTACGAGCTATTATCAAATGTTTCAAATTGGTTGCCACGAGGTATGCGACCCTCAAGATGATTTTCTGGAAAATTTAAGACTCCAAGAAATGTCAGACTTGTCAATTGGCTAGGAATCTTACCAGAAAGTTGGTTTGAAGAGAGGTCCAAGGATTCAAGCGAACATAGATTTCCCAATGATGAAGGGATATTGCCAACAAGGTTGTTGTGAGATAAGTTAAGCAATCGAAGTGCATGAAGCTTTCCGATGACATTTGGAATCTCTCCACTAAATTTGTTGTGTGCTAAGTCAATCGTCGTGAAAATTGTTAGAATTCTTGGTAATTCAATCTCAAGACCCTTTATCATGATTGTCACTGAATCACCATAATAAGATTCCCCCATATATCTCAGTCCCACACTTTCATTGATGATCCTCATAGCTTTGAAATTCTTGAAATATGTTGTTGGCAAAAAGCCACTAAACTCATTGTGAGAGAGATCCAAGATTCGAAGTTTACAAAAGGGTAGTTGAGTTTTGGAAAAGCCCATGGGACCGTGAAATTTATTGGATTGAAAGACAAGGACTTGCAACTCTGGAAGAGTTTCCAACAAGTAGGGGAATGTGCCATTTATATTGTTGTTCCCGAAGTCTAGAACTTCCAAGTGTCTACATGTTGCCAAGGATCGTGGCACTTTCCCTTCTAATTGATTCCTGTTTAAATCAATAGTCCTCAACTTGTTTCCCTCTGCAAATGAGGTCGAAATTCTGCCGTGAAAGTTATTCATACTAAGATCTAACACACTTAGTACATTGCTGAAGTTTCCTAAACATTGTGGAATTACACCACTCAAGCTATTATGAGACAAATCAAGGATCTCAATGGAACTCACATTGCAAATCACTGAAGGGATCTCTGTGAATTTATTGTGTGAGATTAAAAAGTTTGTCGCCACAAGTGGTGGGATGGGGCCACTTAGTTCATTGACGCTCAAATCTAACAATTGCAATGAATGATTTGGGAATTCTTGAAGTTGACCATTGAGTCGATTAGCACCGAGGATTAAGTACGACAATGACGAAATATTAAACAACCCAGATGGAATTGGACCTGTAATATTTGAAAAGTTTAAATAAATAAGTTCTGATTGAAATTGTTTCGTGACAAATCAAAATAAACAATATGTGTAATGTTAGAATATATATATATATATATATTTCCCTGAAACATTCAAAACTATTAATTGTGTAAGGTTAGCAACATTAGGACTATTTAGCGTTCAAACTTGTTACAAGATAAGTCTTTATAAGTCATATGCATAAAGTTCTCAAGAGACTCAGGCATCTACCTAAAAAATTTGCATTGACATTATTTTTCACGTCTTGTCATGGAGATAAGTTTAGAAAATATATATGTATATATTTCCCTGAAACATTCAGAACTATTAACTCTGTAAGGTTACCAAAATCATTAGGACTATTTAGCATTCAAACTTGTTACAGGATAAGTCTTTATAAGTCATATGCATAAAGTTCTCAAGAGACTCAGGCATGTACCTAGAAAATTTGCATTGACATTATTTTTCATGTTTTGTCATGAAGATATGTTTATCAAGGAATTATGTACAATTTTTTTTTTTTTTTGATCGACAAATGTTAGCTATTAGTTGTTAGATTAGCACCTATGGGAGAAGATCTCTACACCCTTGGCAAAGCACCTAAATGCTAGCACTCCCTTAATTCAACCCCCCTAAGGGGAATTGAACTCATGACCTCCTTGGGACTAAGCCCTAAGGAAGGCATGGTGGCCAACTAGACTAAGCCTAGTTGGTTAGGGAATTATATACAATTTAATACATGTTGAGGTTGAAAATGTAGTTATTATAACCATTAAAGATTATGAGGTCACATGATCCAAAAGTGCTATTTGATTTTGCCATTTTTCTTACAACATTTACTTTATTCTCCATATAACTAACAATACAAAGTAGTGTAACAATTATTGAAAAATGGTATGAACCTCAAATGTTTACCAATATATCTATTAAATGTCTCACATGAATATGGGATCCACACCATGTGAGTCACATATGGGCCCCACGTCTATGTAAGACATCTGATAAAATATTTGGAATCACTAGCATTACTCACAATATTATTATCCCCTTTTAAGGGTGTACATCATAGAACTATCGCATCTAATTCGATACATTCACATTTATTAGATATTAGACGATACATGTGAGATCCATTAAACCAACAATTATGTGATAAGCAAAATATTATCAAAAATTTGATAAATGTAACATTGTTGTAATAAACTATGTTAGTATTGACAAGTTCAGTTGAGTTTTCAAATTGTGTTTATCATTAAAAAAACAAAACAAAACAAAACAAAACAAAACAAAAAAATCTCATCATTTTCTCTTTTTAGGGGGTAAAAATAAATTTTAAAAACTTCAAAAAATATTTTTTCTGGTTTTTTTCTAACTGGTTTCTACTTCAAAAAAATAAATAAATAAATGAAGAAGAAGAAGATGATAGATTTGGATTCTCTCAAGTTCTAAGAGGGTGTTTGGGGTGCACTACAAATTTGTCTTAAAAAAATAGATGACAAATATAATTTTAAAAATAACCATTCATTTGTTATAATAGAAATATGATTGACATATATAACTATCGATATTCGATCATCTTAATTTTTTGTATGATTATTCTAGTCAGTGATTTTTAAAAAGTGAACGGTTTAGATTACTGAAATTGGCCCCAAAATAAATCCACTGAATCTAAACTGTTCATTCAAGTTGGCCATCCAACTTGACAGAGCAGTTGGAATTAGTGGTTGAACTCAATCATCCGAACTGTTCACTTTATACAGACTATGAGAATCAACCAAACACGATAACGTCAAACTCCCAAGGTTCTGAAATCTTCAACAATTTGAGGGAAGTAAAAAGAAATGTGTGTGGGTTGTGATGATCTTAATATGTTTTCAGGCATTTACATTTTGGATGATTTAAACTGTTTTGATGACTAAGGGTCATATTTCAATGATTTAAACAATTCATTTTGTATGGTCCTCAGTTTATACCACCATGGAAAAATTAAGTTAATGTGATAATCATAATCTTTTTATTTTATTCAGTTTGTCTCCTAAAAAATGAACGACAAATATGTTTTATAAAATGTACCATTTTTTTTTAGACAAATAACATAAAATGAAAAGGTTACGATTATTTGATTGACTTAATTTCTTTCATGGATGATATGCACAGAAAACTTTATAAAATAAACGGTTTGGATCATCGAAGCGAAATTCATTATGGGTCTTACAGGCCCTTCAAGTTCATAATTAAACTTGAGAGAAGTCGTACTCTACATTTTCATATGTGCCCAGTTAGTTGATTGACTTGCAATTCGAGCTCTACAAGATGAGATTGCAAGACTTCCTAAAGAAAGGCATTAAAATTCAAGTAAATTTCAATGATTATTGAAGAATGCTAATTAAAAATTGCGAAAGGTTATCGAACCTGTGAGATTGTTGGAGCTCAAGTACAATGTCTGCAGATTAGGAAGTTGTCCTAATTCAGTTGGAATTTGTCCATGAATGTTGTTCTGTGCTAAGCCAAACCATTCTAAGCTTGAAGTGTTGCCAAAGAAAGACGGAATTGTACCTGTAAAATTATTTTCTTATAGTAGAAAAGTTCTCAAAAAGAGTAAGGTAATCAACTCTTTTGGTATGTCGAGTCCGATTTTGATTTTGTTTACAATTTGAAAGATGTGCAAACAATATACACATTTTGATAATCCAAACTATTAATAGTTTGGATTATCAAAGTTGGCCCCAAAAATCAAAGTTGGCCCCAAAAATATACCCGCCAAACTCAAACTATACTCTCAAATTGAATGGTCATCCGAAGTCGGCCCCAAAATATACGCAACAGCACTCAAAAACCTCTCATACCAGTCTGCTTTACCCAAGCCCCATCAAAGTTTTTCTTGAACCAACCCCCCTGCGGGCTTGCCACCGAATTTCTTGCCCATTAGTTGACACATCTGACTCGGCCCATACAGCAAGAATAAGTAAATTTGCTTCCTTAAATTGCTCCGCTCTCAACACTGCCCCCTGCGTGACATTGATAGGATCACCTTTGCTAGCATTAAAATATGTGTCTTTCCAGCCCTTCCACAAACTCCAAACAATAGATGCTGCCAGCACTTGAAAAGTAGCAGAGCAACTCCGATCAAGAGAAAAAGTGTCCAACTGGAGTGGGGAAGCAAACCAGACTACAATGATGAAAGGGCCTTCAGCAATCAGATGCATCAGATTCATTTTTCCCTCCACAACACAAACAGGTAGCCTCCACCGGCAGCTTCTTACATCTCATTCGAGTTCCCACCGGTACAATGTCCAAACTACACTTCCAGAGAAAAAGCCGAAGTTTACCATTAATGGGAATTTTCCAAAGTTTCTTCCAGTACGACATCAATTATCGATTGCTGCTATCTACCCCTCTTAGACTACCACTCATTCCATTTTTCCTAAGCATAAGAGCACACTCATACCCAGACTTGACTGAATAGATACCTGTTGTTGTGTAATGCCAGATCAGTTTGATTTAATGAGCCCATTTTGGAGCCAACCTCGATAATTTGAACCATTTACTTTATACATAGTATGAGAATCAACCAAACATGATAGCTTTCGAACTCCCAAGATTTTGACTCAAAATATTCATGAATTTGAGGGAAGTAAAAACCAAAATGTGTGGACTGTGATAATCTTAATATGTTTCCAACCATTTACATTTTGGAGGATCTAAACCATTTTGATGGTCAAATGTCTAGTTTCGTTGATCTAAATTATTCATTTCGTAAGATTCTTAGTCTATATCATCCTGGAAAAAATTAGGTTGAGTTGATTTTTTGAAATCTTTCGATTTTATCACGTTTATCTCTTAAGAAATGAAAGACAAATATGTTTTTTAAAATAAACCAATTAATTTTTTGGAGACAAATACAATAAAATGAAAAAGCTATGCTTATATAATCGGCCCAAATTTTCCTTTATGGATGATATACGCGAAAATCCTACAAAATGAATGATTCAAATCATTCAAATGGAATCCATGGTGGGCATCACGTGCCCCTCAATATATTTTCATGTGTGCACAGTTAGTTGATTGACTTGCAATTTGAGCTCTAGAAGATGGAAAACCCAAAAGTTAAGGTGTCAAAAAAAAAAAGCAGTGGAACTGGTAGACCGATCCAACCCCGTCCAAATTGCCAGTATGGTCTAATTTTTTTAATTTTGGTTCTGGTTTCTGAAAATAGTGGAACCATTCAAATTGGTCAAGTTTTCAGTTCCAAAGCTTTAGTTGCAATTTCGAACCAAACCAGACCGTGGCAAAAGCCCAATAGTCGTTGGAAGCCTTCCCAAAGAAAGGCATTTTAATTGAAGTAATTTCAATGATTATTGAAGAATACTAACAAAAAATTGCAGGAGGTTATCTAACCTGTGAGAGAATTGGAGCTCAAGTCAAATCTCCACAGATTAGGAAGTTGTCCTAATTCAGTTGGAATTCTTCCATGAATGTTGTTATGTGCCAAGCGAAAAAATTTTAAGCTTGAAGTATTTCCAAAGGAAGGTGGAATGGTACCTGTAGAGTTATTTTATTCTAGTCAAATAGTTCTCAAAAAGAGTAAGGTACTCAACTCATTTGGTATGCCACCGAGTCCCATTTTGGTTTTGTTTACAAATGGAAACATTGTGTGAACAATACAGACATTTTGATTGGGTGGAGTCATTACACTTTTTGGGTGTAATGTTTGCATATTTGGGCTAATCATATTTTGTATATTGTTTATATAAAAACAGTATGAACAAATTTAATTTCATATGTCATTGCTAAAATTGTTAGATTTAAGAGATATAACATGAAATATCAAACAAAGGTGCGAATCCACAAGGATGAAAACAAATAAAAATAGAGAGCAGACACAAAAATAAATATGGAGAAATATATAATTACTTTTTCATCCATATGTTTAGGGTTTACTTTTCCAGCCATTTATATTTTCATGTGTGGCTAGCTAGTTGATTGACTTGTAATTTGAGCTATGCATGATTAGAAAGCCAAAGCCTTGTGGTCGTTGGAAGATTTCCAAATGAAAAGCATTAGATTGCAAGTAAATTTCAATCAGTGAAGAATACTAGTTTGAAATTGAAGGAGGTTAATGAGTTTGTGAGATGATTGGAGCTCATCTTAATTCAAACATATAGTTATTGATATTTTCATCGTTATTTTTTCAATAATTATTCTAATCAATGAGTTGTAAAAAGTGAATGGGTCGGATTACCAAACTCGGCCCCAAAAAAAAAAAAAACCACTATGACCAAACTGTTCTCTCAAATTGGATAGCCATCCAAATTGAGAGAGCAGTTAGGCTTAGTAAACTCATTTTTGAGATGACCTTAATGATCTAAATCGTTTAACTTATAACTATGAGAATCAACCAAACACGAAAGCTTTCAAACTCTCACGACGTTGAC